TTGTTAAAACTTTTGATAAAATGTTAGCAAGTGCCAGGAAAAGTAAATTTACTTGTACTTCGTTGATGGGTCTTTATTCTAAAGGTAAGAATCTCAATCAAGGTAGAGCTATTGTTGCAAACTGTGTGCAAGAAGAAATGATCCGAACACCAATCCTTTTTTCTTAGAGCAACTGATCGGACCTACGTTGCTTGTGCCAGTCTCCAACCGAGCATACGTCTGCGGGATTTGAAAACTTTGTATCTCCTCAGAGGCAATTTGACTTTCGAGGCTTTTTTTTTCGTTGAGAGCACAGATATTGATATTTTTTTATAATCTGGAGCGCTGGGAATACTTCTAACTAGATACGCTCAAGAGAATTTTCATATTCTCTTGATAGCCTTTGCTTAATTTTTGTTATAGCCCACCCATTAATTTTGGCGCGATTTTATTGGTTACTTTACGTCACGGGGTGCAAAATCACAGGACAGTTAGCACGCAATAACCCCCATCCGCGTCGATATTTGTCCTCCGATTTTTTCCGTGAAAAAGAAACAGTCAACACAAGAGTTTCAACTTTTCCGTTCTCCTATTTACCTGTAAAAAAGCCAAACTTGTATTTTTGAGCCTAGCGATAGAGACATTAAGCACGCCGTGGTAAAACTTAATAGCTGCCGATCGTGTGCGAGCGACGAAGATTGCCTAAACAACCAGCCTTTTATCTGTTTGGTGAGATTCTTCCGCCCTTCCGCTTCGAATTTCTTTACTTTTTGTGCTGACAGTCAGGCTTCTTTTTTAATTCTACTTATGGCATCTGTGCCAGTTCCAGGTCGCTCATGGGGAATGTTGTTTCGCGCGGCCTCGATCCTACTGTTGCTGTATGCGATGTAAAGCGAAAAAAGGTTTGGCAAATTCTTCTTGGAAACCTTTTTTTCTTTCCATGATGGGTCGAGGAGATCTTTGATCTGTGTGAGAATATAAAAATGACCATAGACATCCCGAAAGGTACAAAATTATAACGAAAACCTTTTATCTCCAATTCGTGGGTTCGCGCCGAGTAGTCCATTCCGATCAAGATAGACGTTTTGGAGCTCAAATTAGCTCTGGAAACGAAAACTGCAATTCTCAAAAGCGCAAAGACAACCGCGGCTGGAAAAGGAAAACAGAACTTGTTAACTTCAGGTAAGGCTTTGGGACACTTTTGCTATTATTTGGACTGGCAGATTTTATTTCAAGTGCAAGGGTATTCTTCAATCGAAGATTTTGTCCTTAAATTATTCGAGTTTCAGAATTTTTATCGCAACGATGCGCAATTTCATGGCCTTGAAGCTATGTAAACAACAATGGTGAATATATCATCTGGGTCTCGTAAATGCAAGTAATTCGTTCGGTTGTTGCCTCTGAACGAAATGGAACGGAAGGTTTAATAACTTATTACGAGCTATGAATTGAAAAAAAAAGGTTTTCGTTATTATTGCGGTTATTCTCACATTCGCGCACAGGTTAATGATCACCTCGAACCATCAGAAAGAGAAAAAAGTTTGCAGACAGGCAAAATTAAAGCAATATGCCAAGCTTTTTGGGCTTTGCATCTTCTACACTAAGTGTACAAAAGCAACAAAGATATGGGATCGAGGCCGTGCGAAACAACATGCCACTCGAGCGACCTGGTACTGGCTTGGCCAATCCCAGCGTTCATTCCGACCCCAGTATCAGCGAAATTCACACTTTGGCGAGTTAAAGGATTCAGTTCGAAAATATGTTTTTGTAGATAACTCGCATTCGTATTAATATTTTACCAAAATCTGTTGGAAACTATAGTTTAAATAATAATGATTTGTTGATGTAAATAAAAAAATTGGCCCATATCCTTATACTAGACTACGAGTAGTCCGTCGCGTAAGCCAAGAAAAAAAAAAAAAAAGAAGTGAAAAATAAATTGATATTAGAGCTCCAAGAATAAGGCGCTCGGAAATAGGGACTACGGATTAAAGAGTTTGAGTTGTGCGTTGCCCTCATAACAAAAAATCTGTCAACAAGCGGTTATACGTGTCAACGTTTGTCAATACTTCAAATGGCTGATGACCAACTTTTCGAGCGCATCACTCATGAAGCTCCTGCGACGCACGGCGTCACTCCAAGAGTTCCTCGCGGCTCGCTTACAGCAAGGTTTTTTTCATTGATATATAGATTATTTTTGACTCGACGGAGGCCGAAATGGAGGGACTGCTCATAGAACAATACTTTATCACAAAGTGCGACAGGTGTTATTTAAAGTGCAATGGTGTGTAAATACAAAATTGGACAGCTTCTTTATCACAAGTGCGACAAGCTAAGTGCTATTTTAAAGTGCAATGGTGTGTAAATACGAAGCGCGACAGCTTCTTAAGGGCGGGGTGGCGCCAGAGCGAATTAGAGTATTTCAAATATTCTAATTTGCTCTAATTCTAATTTCTAATCGCTCTAGTTCTAATTTTAAGCAAACCGAAAGTTGGCAAAGTTTTCGCACTGTCCAATTTTACCACGATCGCATCAAACTATAATCCTTTGACCAAAACTTCACTAATTTACAAAATGATACATCTTACTGTAAAAAGAAATGGAATAAATATCGAGCGAATTGCTACGAAGGAACGGATCCTTTTTTCCCGCTGGTCTTTCGCGTTTTGGACGGGAAGAAGCAATACGTCAAGGCATTCTATTGGGAGATTATCGCCAGGAAATTCTGTTAATAGTTGGCCGAATATAAGTGTTCGAAATGCGCTCAGTGGTTTAGTTCTATACAAATCTACACCCCGCGTTACTGAAACCGCGAGGAAAGAGAATGGTAGACAATTACTGGAACACAAACTTAACTGAAAATTCAAATGTTGTTTACGTGGCTGAGAATTGTCATAAACTGATTGCACAATAGCATTAAAGTATGTACTTTACATTAAAATGAAAGTATCTTGGTGTAAATGAATTTTTGTATTTATGCAAACAGCCTACATGAAATTTAAAACCGTCGTTATGGTTGTCTTCTCACTAACTTTATGACACTTTCGTGTTATTTAACTTTAGAGTGACGCTAATGAAAATGTATTTATCGCGAGGGGCAAAAGGTTTAGTGCTGGCTTCATTACTTGCAACGGAAGGATGATTTATCGTTCAAACCATATGTCCTCCAAATTGGTGCCATTCTAACCGAACCCGAAATACAAGTCACAGACATTTGATCAAAAACGGCGCTCAAAACCATTTCCCTCGAGCAAAGAAAATTCGGATGGACGAGCAAAATCCTGCTCTCGCACGCCAAAAGTAAGCCGGCGGACAGAAATGATTTTTCCCGATGAAGTTTTAACCAGACATATCTTGCATATTATGACAACTAAATGTTCACAAATATCACGAATGTTTGTTTTCTCAAAATTTGGAGGCCTTTGAGACACGGGCTCTATGAATATTGGCGAAAATTTGGCGATTTGCATCATCCCTTTGTAGACTTCCAGGCTTTATATAACCAGAAATCTCGGTATTCAATATGACGGACCGACGGACGAATGAAAATTCATTCGAAAGGCTATTACCGCAGCTTAAATGCTCTTAGTTCTGCAGATTTCATAGAGAGTAGATCGAAAAGAAGGAAAAGCCCTTACTTTCAATGTCTTCACAAGGAAAAAATTTCCAAGGTTGAAATTAAGTTCTAATATCAGACATGGCATTTAATATTAGTTATAGTTTCCTTCAAATTCGCGCTTTTTTTTTTAACCGACTATTTTGTACGGCGGCTTTTTTATCTTTAGGCAATTAAGATGTGTTAAAACAAAATGGTGGGCGAAGAAAAAGAAAAAAAACCGTTCGAAAGAGCATTTTTGCCCAATTAGTGGTTTATTTACTCGCATCTCGCATTTCTGAAAAATATCACTTTACAAATTGAAAAGGCACCGTCTTAAGGGGTGTTTTTGGAGCGAAAAAACGTCTTCTTTGCGAGTTAAACTTCTTATCTTTCGGAATTGACGATGGGGAACCGAATCAGTGCAACCGTTTCCTCGTAGCAGACTAAAGTGTAAGTTACAAAACGTTTCCCGTGTTCAGTCCGCGCGGGACTGGTAATCTACGTCATGTATTGTTGATATTATGGTATGGACCATGTGCTCGGACCTCGAGAAGTCAAAGTTCGGTCCTAAATGTTTGTTTATTTTTTCTCATGAATGTTTTCTTCACGTTTCCTGCGAGTCCACAAATCTTGTATGTTGTCACTGTAGTATTTTCGTTTCGCTTCGTTTTGTTTACGTTTGTTTCCTTTTTTGTACAGTCAAACCAGATCTTTGTAATTAAAATCTTGTTCGAGTATTCAAGTCTACATAAAGAAACTATGAAGGTAAACCCTATTTTAAGGATAAGAGAAAGAGGAAAGTGCGGTTATTATAGGAGGTTGTTGGAATGAAAACGCCCCGTCTGAAACCAGTTTTTTCTCACTTTTCTTACGATTGAAATACGGTTCGAACTTGACTCTATCTATTTTGCCGGATGAAGGGGAACGTTGAGTTTCTAACAGTAATGGCACAAAATGCAAAATATTTTTATTTCCCCATTATTTCCTTAATACTCCGCAGCCATATCTAATCCACGTTTCCGCGCTTAGCGCATGCTCGCGGCCATTTTGGCAACCATGTTGTAAAGGATTTCTGGTTATGAGTGTGCTGTAGACCGCGCCGAGGATATGGCCACATCATTTTTCATTTGGGCAACCCGTCCTTTTGATCATCAAACTTATTTTGACTCTTTAATTCATTAATTAACAAGGTTATAAATAATAAATAACCTCAATTAAGTAAAGACATGCTATCGAGGGAAAATTTGTCACATCTATGAGAAAGTTCAGGTAAGCAAGAAGCGACTTGCTTTCCTTACAGGGAACTCTCCGATAGTCTCAAACGCTTCGCAAAGGAGCAACACCATGCAGGCTTTGAGGCCAACCCATTTGGTATTTTTGATTTGTACGAAATTTCTGTTAGTTTCGTTAGTTGTGGCGAGCGATGAATTTTGTGGAAGAGTTTTTGAGACTCAACTTGGTAAGTTAAAACTTCGGCTCATTCAAGCCAAATTACCTTAATATGTGTTTCTCTTTGTGCATCAGTTAATTGCGCGCACAAACTTCTTTTCGCAGGTCATGCCTTAGTTGGTCACTTCATGACCAAAAATTATGTTCTTGACGAGTTTGAATGCCATCTAAAATGTATGGCAAATAACAATTGTAAGTCGTTTTATGTTCACCTAAAGGGCAAGCATGCGAAACACATTTGTGAGCTGAATAACAGAACTTGACAAATGAAGCCAGGTGATTTTAAGCGGAAGAAAGGATCGACGTATTTTGGCTCTGTTCAGGTCAGTTTAATGTATATTTTGTGATAATAACATTTTCAAGTTAGATCTGAGCAAGGCCTCGATCATGTATGGGATAGCTGTGAACACTCTCCCTCTCATACCTCTATAAATTCTATGGAATAATTAGGGTTTGGCGTAGCGTTTGTGTTTATATAACCAAAGCAATTAAAGAACAATTTCTAACAAGTTCTAATTCACCTGACCCAGGCCACCTGTATCGACGTTTCCAAGGAACCAAAAAAGCCAAACAAAGAGCGGTAAGTGTCATCCGGGATATTTTGGAAAATGGTGTTATAGGAGTAAGTACTAATTACATAACAATTCTCAAATTCCGAATTTCGACGAAACTGCTTGCTACACTTGGTAAGCTCAGCCGTTTGATCTCCGCCGTGAAGTGCTATTATTTCAACACTGGTTTGAATGCCAAAAAAATTGTAAACCTGCCTAAACCGACATTTAGCACTGCTTACATATATAACATTTAAGGGAACCAAGTGACGCGGAACAAGCCAGTAAAGACTTCTGGGAAATCAAACCTTTCATTGCAAAAAAAGGATTAGCGGATTTTGTCCTTTAACATGATATCATTGATTTATTTACTTTATTATTCATTCTGTAGTTTATAAGAACTGCGCTGAAGTGTTCAAGTCTGGCGACAAGATCAGGGATGTGTACAAAATCGATCCTGATGGTTTGGGAGAAATTGAAGTCTTCTGTGATCATGAAACAGCCGGCGGAGGATGGATGGTATTTCAGAAGAGATTTGATGGCACTGAAGATTTCTTCCGCACTTGGGATGACTACAAAAGGGGCTTCGGCAATGTGAAAGGCGAGTTTTGGCTCGGACTGGACAAGATTCATCGCCTGACTGCAAGCAGTAACAAGCTTCGTGTTGACTTGGGAGACTTCCATGGTAAAACAGCGTTTGCAGAGCACAGTTCATTTTCTGTGGCGAGTGAGTATGCGAAATACCGGCTGAGTTTGGGAAGCTATTCAGGTATACAAGTTGCCTATTTTGTTCTTTTCAATTCACACTTGGACTACTTATTGGGCAGCTCGTATGAATAATAAAGCGTTCATCATTCTCAGTCCAGGGTTTTTTTTTTCGAATTCATTGGTCAGTAAGGACTTATGCATGGTGTCCATATGATAAGCAAAATAGAACATGGTCACCTATAGATATAGAATTTTTTTCTCGTGTTCAACTCATCTCACGAGTGAGTGCAGCGGGGTTTTTATCTGTTTTTTTTTTTATTCTAAGAAGTTAGGAAAGTAAGTTTCCTATTGAAATACTCAGTAACTTTGTTCGATTTTCCAGCATCATATTGGATGTTTAAGGAATTTCATCTTAACTGATATATGATATTTAAAACGAAGCGTTAAGCCGAAGCATTTGAATTTATCATTTAAGTGATGAATTTTTAAAACTTGGTTTTCAGGCACGGCTGGTGATTCTTTGGGTGTTCACGATGGCTCAGCATTTTCTACCAAAGATCGGGATAATGACGCCATCTCAGGAGGCAACTGTGCCTTTTGGCATAAAGGCGCCTGGTGGTACAAGAGTTGTCATGTATCAAACCTCAATGGCATGTACCTAGATGGCAGGTGCACTTATGGAGTTTGTTGGTATGACTGGAAAAGAAGATATGAGTCTCTTAAGAGGTCTGAGATGAAGATTCGCCCAAAGGAATTCTAATGTTCAATATCGATTACTTTGTATCAAACAAAAGATGAGTAGAGAATGAAAGAAACTATAAGAATGCTTTTGCTTTAGTATTCCTGTTGTTGTTCTTATAAAGAACAACAGCAAGACAACTTTTTTGAATAAATTTCCCCAGCTACAATAGAATTCCAAAAATTTCAAGGCAAGGGATATGTAAAAAAACGACTATTAAAAGCAGGTTCTCATCAAAAGGGTTTACTGAAGTAGTTCCAAAGGTTCAAATAATGGTTGATTTTCAGATATCTTAGAAACAGGATTTAGAGATATAAAGTGTTTATAATCTTTTGGCATAATTTATAGAATAGTTATAAAAACCACTGGAATTTTGGGAGAAATGTGCGTTGATGATTATGCAAATTTGTTCACTCATCATTAACATTTTAAACAACTGCGCAACCGTTTGCACTTTATCTCTCGTCTTTTGAATTCTAAAGGTGCGTTGGATATGAAATGTTGAATTGGCTCTAGCCATCTCACATCCAACAAGCGTGTGTCATAAACCTAATGTGTAGATAGCATGTCTCCTCTTTTGGCTTCCTAGTGCGGCTGTTTTGAAAAATGGTTCACTAGACTATTTCCACAAATGAAAATGACATACGATTCTATAGAAGAAATTTTTTTCTCGCGAGATTACTTCACCATTTTTCATTAAAAAAACGGGAAAAACTTCCGCTAAAAAATTAAACTTGACATGGCAACAAGTGAACAAGCCGATGAAGATCTGCCTACTTTTTCTTTGGGAATAGATTTTTTAACTCCCGAGAAAGAACCCAGAGAAAGGGAAAACAAAACAATCAACGCCGGCTTCATCTCGTCTCGCAACTCTAACTTCATTTCCACGCACGCCTATTTTCATTACCAACATGTGCCAAGTTTTTAACTTCTACAATCATAAGAGTTATTCCCATTGAAAGGCTTTTTCACAGTAACTAGTTTATATAAGGCTAATTATGAAACTTGTTCTAGAGCAAGACATCTGCTGCGCACCGTCAGTGGTGTCTAAGTTGATCGTCGGAGGGATTAGAAACTTGCGATCCAAGTTTAAGGTCTACGTAAAGTTATACGTAGGGTGAAGTAACATGAATCTTTTGCGGGGATAAACATAAAAAAGTGTCACACTTGTTACATAAAGAAGGGTGTACCATAGCGAATGTGCGTTTCTCGTGCAGTCGCATAAGAGTTAACACAGCTTGAATGTCCATGTTTATCAAATTTCTTTACGGTTTTGCAATCCGTTTGCAGATTAATTTAAAAAAAATTATCGCTCTGTCAGAGAAGGAAAACTGTCGATCTATCGCTAGGAAACGAGTTAAAAGATACAGGTGTCAACCGTTTAAGGTTAGGATAAACCTTTTACATTTAATGCGGAGAATTTTTCAAGGTATTAAAGGTATTACTTTTTCCAGTGCGCCTCCCTCAAACAGATGTTAATGATTCAAATAAGAGAGAACTAATTATGGGAGAGAGGATCATTGTTTGAATTAAAAATATCATTAAACTCACGAAAAGGAAGCCGACGCACCGTCGACTAAAAAACTTTCGACATTGCATCCCACTTGATCTCAGACAGATATATCAGGCTGATGTGTTGAACAAAATTTCCAACATATTTGAAAGCTGACTTTTAAGACTAGGTGTTTTCGTTTTTTTGAATGTTATTTATGTTATTTAACACAAAACTCGATAAAATCCCTTATGTTCTCCCAGGAATGGTGCAAAATAAACTATATTAGACTCCAAACTTTGCATATATTTCAGGTGACGACAGGATGGTTGACTTTCAAAGTTCATTGTCGACCATGTCTGGTTGCCAGCAATGACGCCAAAGTATTCATTTTAGAGGCCCTGCTTCGTATTCTTTTCTTTACAAAACCTATTATGACCAACCATTTATAAAAAATAGACTTAAAAGGCCCGATTGTTGTATATCGACCTAAATAATTGAAAGGGCTATCAATAAGAAATAAACTTTATTTTTTTTAAGCGTTTTCTCGAAAGCAAATTGATCCAGTCCTCGTGGGAGCACTGGGAGGCGACGATGTAATTTTTTTTTCTCCCAGAAAATTCTAAAGTATTCTCAAACGCTTCGCAGAGAAGTATTGCCATGCAGGTTTCGATACCTCAGTCTCCACGGTGAAGTATCAGTTGTTACTTAAGCACCTGTTTGTACTCCGAGAAAGTTGTAAACATACCTGAGCCGACATTTCACACTGCTCACATATCATGAACATTAAATGTATGGAACCAAACCGATGCGGGGAAGCCAGAAAAGGCTTCTGGGAAATCAGATCTTAAATTGCAAAAATAGTCTGCAGATTTTGTCCTTTAGAGATGAAATAATTGATTTGGTGTTTTCTTTCATAAGATGAAGCCTCTTATGAACTTATTCATATTATTGTTGATTCTGTAGTTTACAAGGACTGCGTTGAGGCGTTCAAGTTGGGCGACAAGATCAGTGGTGTGAACAACATCGATCCCGATGGTTTGGGAGAAATTGAAGTCATCTGTGATCATTAAACAGTGAGCGGAGGAAAGACGGTGTTCAGAAGAGATGTAACGGCGCTGTAGATTTCTTCCGCACTTGGGATGACTACAAGAGGGGCTTCGGCAATCTGAAAGGCGAATATTGGCTCGGACTGGACAAGCTGACTGTAAACAGCAGTAACAAGCGTCGTGTTGACTTGGACGACTTTTATGGTAAAACATGAGCGTTTGCAGAGTACAGTTCATTTTCATTTTCAGTGTCGAGTGAGAATGCGAAATACCGGCTGAGTTTGGGAAGCTATTCAGGTAAAATTGAGTTTTGCTTACTTAAATTTGCCTAGTATTCTGTTATTTACACCTGGACTACTTACTGAGCGGTTCTTATGGATAGCAAAAGCATTCATCATTTTCACTCCCAGGTTGTTTGTCGATTTGTCGAATTCTCCAGTCAGTAAGGGCCTAAAGTGTTTATATAATGAGAAAAATAATGCACGGCTGCTTGTATGATGAATTTTTAAAAATTGGTTTTCAGGCACGGCTGGTGATTCTTTTAGTCGGTTCGTGATGGCTTAGCATTTTCCACCAAAAGTCGGGATAATGACGCGCACTCAAGTGATAACTGTGCCATTTATCGTAAAGACGCCTGGTGGTACGAGAAATGACATGACTCAAACCTCGATGGCTTGTACCTCAAAGGAAAATCCGACTGGGAGGGAGTTATCTGGTAACACTGAAAAACCAATCCTGAGTCTCTTAGGAGGTCTGAGATGAAGACTCGCCCAAAGGACTTCTGAGATTCAAAATCGATTACTTTGTGTCAAACAAAAGATGAGAAAAAAGAAACTACGAGGAGAAAGACTATAAGGACTGTTGCTTTGCTTTAGTTTTCTTGCTGCTGTTCTTAAACAAATCACAAGCCGGTAGGTCGTGATTCAAAGTAGAGCTGCTGACAAAGCCTTAAAAAGAAAAATTGTCTATTTGTAGCTGCGTTTATGGTCTTAAGAAAGGCGAAACAATGTTAGAAAAGGAATGTGCAGTCGCTGTAACATTAATTAACGTCGCTGAAGATGATGAAGAGTTTCGATATTTCTTAAAGCGATGCGAACGTTTTTCATGGTAGGCTTTTTACAATGAGCTGCTGTAATGTTTTTTGCGAGGCTTAAAATCTCACGTCTGTGGAATAAATTGAGTAACGGTCGAGTTATGCTAAATTTTCATTTGGGGATTTTCGTAAAAGCAAGTAAGTCAGAAGCATTTTCCTTGTTTCTTCGTAAAAGGTTTTTTTTTTTTTTTTTTTTTCTTTGTTTTCGTATCGATATACTTCTAGGCAATTCTTGCCTGATTTCGTTTCATAGTTTTTGAGCAACGTGCAGTTACTGAGCCAACCTCCAAAATTTGCATAATCGCCAGAAAGACGCCATGAATTAAAGCAAGCGCAGTGCGAAAAAGCTCGGTGCTTTTCATGATAACTCTTTTAATGCTGCTTTATTTTGTAGAATCGTATGTCATTTTCACCTGTGGAGGTAGCCTAGTAAACCATCTCTCTCAAAAGTCGACAGAGGATACGTACTTTCCACCCATTTAGTTTATAACACGCGCTCGTTGGATGTGAGATTTATTACAGCCACTTCAACATCTCATATCCAACGCACCTTTGAAACTGGAAAAACGAGAGACAAAGTGCAATCGGTTGCGTGGTTGGTTAAAATTTTAATGAAAAGTTGACAAGTGCCAGAAAAAATTAACTTAGGTCCGAGTAGTTGTTCTATGAACTATGAACTATAAACTAGTTCGAATTTTGCAACTACAGCTCTGCATCGATTGAGATTCGTACCTTAAGAAAAGGACCCATCTGCGGCCTGCGACCTATGTTGTTAGTGCTATTCTACGACCGAGGAAACGCCCGCGAGATTTCAAAGGTTCGTATTTCCCCTGAAGATATTAACTTACGAGGACAAATTTTCGTGGAGAGGACAGAGATTAATATTTATTTAAGATCTGGAGCATGGAAATACACTTCTGATAAACATGTGGTGAGCAGAACAAGGAAACGTGCATTTATAGACATTTAATTTTCAGAATATTTTACTTTTCATCAAAAGCATGCTCCAGATTGTCGATGATAAAGTTTTTTAGCAAGAGTCGAAAATGATCCGGACCAGATGATATTCTCGTGACACACTTTGTTTATTTTCGATATACCAAATATGATCATGTTTCGAACAATTTGATAGGAACATGGATCGAACAAAGTTGACAAACTTTGATGTCCACTGGGGTCGATCGAGGAAACGAAGTTAAGTGAGTTTCATGATTTGCTTCGCAACAGACTTGTAGTTAAATGCCACCCACTCCTCCCCCCTCCGTTATAAATCCTGGTAAACGCTAAGCTATCAACCATCATTTCAACCTGTGCTACTACTTTGATGGGCCATTTTGACGAGGAGCGTCTGGTCATGAATTTTCTCATATTATTGAGTCTGCTTTTT